TAGTTATATGAATTGAAAAATTGAGAGTTATTAGGAGACATCTCCGCGGTTTCACGATAGATCCAGAAAATAACATTCTTAGCTAAAAATGTTGCTTAATATATCTAGTTACGGCAGAAATACATAATGACTCTTTTTTTAGTCGAAAAATTATGTTAATCATAATACAAAAATGTCAATGATTTTGACAGTTGAACCACTGTAAACTAGTCTCACAATGGTACAGGTTATGTGTCAATCCTGCTTCAATATTTGCATATTAATTAACACAAGTTTTCAACGGACAACAAATCTTCCACTTGTTTTAGCCGCAGCCGAATAAAAGTAAATTATAGTTGCAGTTCCGGATTTTTTTTTAAGTCACCCATGGAGGAGAAAATGAAAAACTCTGAGCAATTGGAATTTTCAACATTTTTTGTTGTTTTACAAGTGCGAGTATGGCGAGGGAGACAATAAAAAATGGCCAATAAATATGATATTTGAGAGTGGATTTGTTGTGACTTACTTTTTACTACCTCTGCCATGACTCTTGATCCAATAATGGTAACCTTCGTGTTCAATGGGTTTTAAATCTCGCCTGTGGTAGAACATTCTGTTGAAATAAGTGGACTGCTATGGTATTGTCAAAATGGGCAAACTGGGGAGTCCGTTGTCTTCGTATCATAATCACAATTTGAGACTGTTCCAGACTCGGTAGCTCTCCTCTCTCAAATTTAAGTATGACTCGAGTTCCAGGAAATCCAGGCCAATCTCATTGTATCCGATCTTTAGCTGTTCCCACTTCAGTTAATCGCCGCACATACATTATCTCTCACCACTGCAATCCAAAAAGGAACGGACTCGTCAGTTAAAGTATCAGAAAAGAATGATTGCGAGCAACAGTGGAGGGTAGAGGGGAACATTGAGTCGAAGCTAAATTTGAGTGCGGGGGGGGTATTCGAATACAATCATTCTATACTAACAGCTACAACACATTCTAATCCTGAAGTGGGGCTTGCCCGCTGCCCAATTCAACTGGCTTAATTAGTAAAGAGTCACCTGTATTGATCTAGCATTTGAATAAAAAAAAAAAAATTGAATTTGAATTTGAATTAAAAATTATAAAAGATGATTAACCCCCGGGTATACTCGATACCAAATGTTATTTGAATTGCGGTTTATTTTATTTGTCAATCTACAAGGCCATGACGTTTTAAACTGTTTTTTGGTTACTGCAAAACTCCCAAAAAAATGAAATCGATATTAAAAAAAGAAAAACTAAAAATTGCGAACATTTTCGAAGATTCTTTTTACTAAGCATGTTCCATCCTTTCGGTCAGAATTCATTTCCTTTTTTTATAATTTTGAAAAATGTACGAGGAGATGGATGTGAAAAAATATAACGTTTTTGCTTGCTTGTTGAGTCACTTTCAATAGCCTTAACAAAGAAATTCATTGATTCAGGAGATGAACGTCGGGGTAAGACACCACATGCGACTCCTCCGCGCTTACAGCTTGGAATGTTTCTTTATTCGAGATTTCTGTTGAATGAGTGCAGCTTCCTGCTGGAAGCAGGGCAGGGGGGGAAATGGGTTCTTCTGAGGAATAATTAACTGCTTGAAATAGGATGGATTCATGGGATGAACGTTTTTCAATCATATTGGTTATTTAAACGAAGCGAACAATCGTATACAGTGCATAGAAAACTAAAACTTAATGATAGATTAGCATGGATACATTAAGTGATGTATAATGATTAAACGAGCTTGGTGGTTTC